CCACCACCCTTCACCAGTCTCCCTCTGAGCAGCTCATCTTCCTCCTCACTCACAGAGAAGACAGAAGCCCAAAGCCAGGAATGCCCTCCACTGCCGGCCACCCCACCTTCACATTTCTTTTTTTTTTTTATTGCTCACCCCACAAAGAGCACCTTCACATTTCAACATCAGGCACATCCCAATTTTCCTCCTTCCTCCTGAAGCACGGCCCTGGGCTGGGAGGAGCCCATGTTCTGGAGCCCAGCTCCCCATCCTCCCTGGGCACCGGCCTCCATCTGTCATCCTCCTCTGGCCTCCCTCTCCAACCTCACACTCTTTGCCAGCTCCTCCCATAATCCCCGCCATTCCCTACTTCTGCCCAACCTCCCATTCATTCCTACCCACAGCCTTCCGGCTTCTGCAACTCCCTAGAGCCTTCTCTAGCCCATCACAGAAGCATCTCGAACCCAGAACATCCAGAGCTCATCTCATCATTTCCCTCCAACCTGTCCCTCCTCCAGTGCTCTCAGTGCTGCTCAGTAAAGAACAGCAGGGCACACCTGCACAGCCAGCGGAATTCTGCACTCCCCACTCTCCCTCACCCCCAACCCAGACACCCTCCAAGTCCCCCGAAGGCTCCTGTTAAATATCCCAGAATCCATCACTATGTTTGTGCTGGGCCAGCATTGACCTTGGAAGCTCTGGCACGCTATTCATTCAGGTATTCGCTCAACAAGCACTGCTTGGAAAGCCCACCCATGCCGCACTGACTCAGCTTGCATTCACAGTTCCCCCTCGGGTAGTCGCTCCCCTTGGCACTTGACTTCTCCCATCCTAGCACCGTCGTTGACATGGGCTTCACCTTCGGCTTTGTCTTGCATTCTACCTGCCTTCAGGTTTAGCTGTGCCCCTCGCTACCGTCTCTGGCTTCTGTGGGCCTCCTCCTGGCCCGTCAGTGAGGTCTGTCAATGGCAATTATAAGGAGGAGTTGCAGTAGTTACGAGGGCTCATGGCAGCAGCGGTGGTGACGGGGAATGCCTGAGATGGGGCTGGGGGGTAATGACTCTATTAGAATTTCCTTAAGGACTTTTATTAATTTATGCAGTCAATAAACATTTACTGAGAACCTACAATGTGTCAGGCACTGAACTAGGCCCTGCGGATACGTCAGAGAGCAAAAAATATAGAATCCTCCTGGAGCTTACAGTGCAGTGGGGTAGACGTGTCATAATTATGATCAAGAGAGGCGCTCCACCAGGCACTCCACCAGAGTTGTACCTGGTGCTCTGAGCCTGTATCAGAGGCACTTGGTCCTCTCTGAGGAAGTGACAGTTATGCTGAGATCTGAAGGACAAAGATGTGTCAATTAAAAGAAAAGGGAGGGCTGGGCATCCCAAGATCAGCATATGCAAAGGCCCCTCAGGGAGCAGAGGTAACACACAGGACAAGAAACGTTGGGTGGGCTGTTGGGCGCAGTGGCTCACGCCTGTAATCCCAGCACTATGGGAGGCCGAGGCGGGCGGATCACGAAGTTAAGAGATAGAGACCATCCTGGCCAACATGATGAAACTCTGTCTGTACTAAAAATACAAAAATTAGCTGGACATGGTGGCACATGTCTATAGTCCCAGCTACTTGAGAGGCTGAGGCAGGAGAATCTCTTGAATCTGGGAGGCGGAGGTTGCAGTGAGCTGAGATCATGCCTGGCAACAGAGTAAGACTTTGTTTCAAAAAAAGAAAAAAGAAAAGAAATGCAGGGTGGGCAAGGACCATAAGGGACACACTTTTTGTTTTTGTTTTGAGATGGCGTTTCTCTCCTGTTGCCCAGGTTGGAGTGCAGTGGTGCAATCTCGGCTCTCCACCTCCCAGGTTCAAGTGATTCTTCTGCCTCAGCTTCCCAAGTAGCTGGGATCACAGGCGCCTGCTACCACAACCAGCTAATTTTTTGTATTTTTAGTAGAGACGGGGTTTCACCATGTTGGCCAGGCTGGTCTCAATCTCCAGACTTCAGGTGGTTCGCCTGCCTCGGCCTCCCAAAGTTTTGGGATTACAGGCGTGAGCCACTGCACCAGGCTGGGACATACTTTTTAACAATTGTAAGGTAACATACAAAACTCACCGTTTTAACCAAATCGAAGTGAACAACGCAGTGGCATTTACTAAATTCACAGTGATGTGCAGCCATCACAACTACCTGGTTCAGAATGTTTCACTGCCCGAAAAGGAAACCCTGTTTCACTCCCCATTCCTCTCTCACCCCGCCCCTGGCAACTATTTATCTATTTCCGGTCTCCATGGATTTGTCTATGTTGGACATTTTATCTATGTGGAATCATACAGTACCTAGACTTTTGTGCCTGGCTTCTTTCATTTAGCATAATGTTTTGTGTTCTTTTTAGATAGAGGTCTCACTCTGTTGCCCAGGTTGGAATGCAGTGGTGCAGGCATGGCTCACTGGAATCTTGAACTCCGAAGCTCAAGGGATCCTTCTGCCTCAGCTTCCCAAGCGGCTGGGACTACAGGTGCATGCCACTGTGCTCAGCTAATTTTTTATTTTTTTTGTGGAGCTGGGGTCTCGCTATGATGCCCAGACCGGTCTCAAACTCTTAGGTTCAAGTGATCCTCCCACCTTGGCCTCCCAAAGTTCTGAGATTACAGGCGTGAGCCACCATGGCTTCAAAACATAAAATGTCTTTAAGGTTTATTCGTGTTGTAGCAAGCATCAGTATTTCTTTCCTTTTCATGAATGAATAATATTTCACTGTGTGGCTATAGCACAATTTGTTTATCCATTTGTGTATTGATGGACATTTAAATAATTTCTACCTTTTGGCTATTGTGGTTAATGTTGCTATGAACATGTGTGTGCAAGTTACTGTCTGAACGCTAGATTTTGATTCTGGAGTGGAATTGTGGAATCAGATGTTAACTCTGTGTTTTACTTTTTAAGCAACAGCCCACACTCCTAATTGCATTACTTAAATTCAAGCAGTGGTGGTAAAGATAATATCTGAGCCGGGCGCGGTGGCTCAAGCCTGTAATCCCAGCACTTTGGGAGGCCGAGGCGAGTGGATCACGAGGTCAAGAGATCGAGACCATCCTGATCAACGTGGTGAAACCCTGTCTCTACTAAAAATACAAAAAATTAGCTGGGCATGGTGGCGCGTGCCTGTAATCCCAGCTACTCAGGAGGCTGAGGCAGGAGAATTGCCTGAACCCAGGAGGCGGAGGTTGCGGTAAGCCGAGATCGCGCCATTGCACTCCAGCCTGGGTAACAAGAGCGAAACTCCGTCTCAAAAAAAAAAAAAGATAACATCTGAGAATCATACTGTTGTTTTTCAATATTTACAGTTTCTTTTCATCTCTTTTTATGCAGGTTGTTTAAAGTGGAGGAGAACAAGCTGAGACGGGCCATCTCAGTAAACTGCCCCATAGACTGAATAAATTCATTTGTATTGCAAGCCCCACCAGGCCGGGGATCTTTGTCAGTTTCAATTCCTGGCATATTTCAAGTCTAGAACAGTGAGTGGCATATGGTTGGTGCTCACCATATGGCTGGTGCTCAATAAATATTTGTTGCATGAATAAATAAATACAATGAACTGCCTCAAATGTGCTAAAATCTCAAGAAAACAGACATTCATCAAGTAGAACCACAGGAGAATGGGCCGACATTGTAGCCAGAGGTGGATGGTTAGACATGGGAAAGGACTTCCCAGAACTATGGGACCCTCAACCCTTGGGGAAGCCTCAACTCCTATTCTTTTAACACCCGCCATGTGCAGGTACTTTTACAAATGTTTATATGGCAGCTCTGAGAGTCTGTGTGGCTGTGGAACCTGAATCCATCCCCAGGCTGCAGGTCATGCAGGCTTTGCTCCCGCCATGGGGACGGTGGTCCTCAATCCCAAGGCCAATGCTCAGCCCTGAGAATGCCTGGGGGTGAGGTCAGCTCAAGGGTACTCGAGGGGCCCTCAGAAGAGCTGTGGAAAATACACAATGTAACCGGAGGAGGAAGGAAGGATGGCAGCCGAGCGTGCAAATTGGAGGCTGATATTGAATTGCAGCAGAATGAGCAGAGGATTAGGTGCCCCACCTGGACCCACCCCAGAGAATACCAAGGCCTGGGCCAGCCCTTGTGAGAAGCTGCAGGCCAATTCCCAGGTGGAAGCCAGGCCCGATGAGCAGGGACAATGAGGCAGGGTGGGTGGTCCCAGGCAGGAAGACACCATTGATCTGGCTGAGGCCCTCCTTCCTGAGCCCTCCATCCTCAGCCTGGGCATCCCTCACTCACAGAACTCCTCTTGGTTCTGGGGGCAGAACTGGGGGGATCAGAGCCAAGTCAAGACCCTAGGCCAAGTTGCTGCCTTCAGAGAGAGCAGGGGAGAGGGGGATAGGAACATATCCAAATGCCCAGGATTCTGAGGGGTGGGGAAGGGGAAACTGCCTTGACTGAGTAAGTCAGAGAAGGCTTCCTGGAGGAGGGTGCAGGGTATGGGGCTGGGTTGAGATACAGGAAGATCTGGGTTTGAATTATAGCTTGGCTGCTTCCTAGCTGTTTGATCTTGGGCAAACCTTTCGTTCATTCTACGTATTTTGGAGTTTCTACTCCATGCCAACCATGTGTGAAATGTTGGGACAACAAAGGTGAATTAGATCCGGCTCTTGTCCTCAGAGCTTAAGCAAATCATCCGGGCGGCGTGACCCACGCTACAGTGGAGGTGGAATACTGGGCCGCAGGGCAGGGCCACAAGACACGGTGGGCAGCTTAACCTCTCTGAGCCTCCGTATCCCTAATCCACGTGATGGGGTTTGTAACCTCTTCTCACATTGTTGAGAGAAAAGGGTAAGCCTGACTCAGAGCTGTGGCAAAGGAAGGGCAGGGCAGGCTATGAGGACAGGCACCGCGCTGTCAGCAGCTGAGGTTAGGGAGGGGCAGGAGAGGGTGTAAAGCAGGGCGGGAGAGAGCAGGGCTCTGGGCAGAGGCTGAGCCAGGTCCTGCAGATCACCCAGTCGCTTGAGTCCCTGAATGCTGGAGTCAGACACTGGAGGGCCAGGACAGTTCAGCTGCAGCTCCTCTGAGCAGGGAGTCAAACAGGTTTGGGTGACCTTTGTGAGCAAGGTCCCAGGGTGTCGCTAGTTTCTACTTACTTCTCTGGTAATGACCCCGGTGCGGTCTGGCTCTGACAGTCACAGCTCCTCTCTCTCCCTATAGGGCAGAAGCAGACACCAGCTCTCCTGGACCAGCTGGTAAGACCTTCCCGGCTGCCCCCCAGGCCTGAGAGGAGGCGCCCCGAAGTGTGCATGGAAGCGCAGGGAGCTAGGAGGCTACACTGGCTCTGGGGCCTGCAGCCCAGACAGCCCCCGCCAGATGTAATGGGGGAGGAAGCCAGGGACCGGGAGGAGTTCAGAGGTCAGAGGAGGAACAGTGTCAGGAAATATGCCCTCCTCCAGCTCCTCCTCCCAGCTGCTCTCCCCTCCTGCTAGTGCCCACAATGGCTCCCGCTGCCTCCTGTAAGGAAGCTTTATTAGCCTACTGCCTGTACTCCTTCACACCACAGCGCTGGCAGGACCCCATTAGTCCGCTTATTCAACCCTCCCGTGGTGCACAAACCCTTGCCAAGCAGGTAGAAACTCACCATTTCACAAAGCAGCGTCATTAGAAAGGTTTCCCTGGCCCTATCCCCCCACACCTAATCTTTGTCCAATGTGGGCAGACTTGTTCCTGGCCCCTTCTCATCCCACCAATGCACAAACACGCCTGCTCCCTCTCTCCAACCAGGCTCCAAGAACCAACCTCTCCCCTGAATCAGGTCCCTGAGGACCACCACATGGCTGCAACACAGAGGGTCGGGGGCAGGGCACAGGTGGGCTTAGCAGGGTATAAAGGCTGGCAGTTTGCTCATTGATTCACTTGACAAGCATATACTGTGCACCTCTGAAGGGCCGGGCCCTGTGCTAGGCGCTGTTGCCATGGTGAGCAAATCCAGAAATGGACCCTGCCTTCTAGGAGTTCACGGTCCAGAGAAGAAGTCCGACACTGAACAGAGAATCACATCTGTGAGCAACACAAAAGGCAAGGCAAACCCAGGCAGATGCTCCCTCCCGGGACTCTGTGTTATAGGCCTACAGAAAGCCTCTCCCAGAGAAAAAGCGATTTTTCAGCCAGAACCTCCAGCAGTGGCTTTCAGACTGTGAGTGGCAACACATTTGTGGGTCATAAAATCAATTTAGTAATTGTGACCTGAATTACTTGTTAGTGAAATGGAGAGGAATTTAAAATATCACACTTAGGAAATACTGTCTTGTGAAATGTTAGTTTCAGTTATCTATCTGAAACTAACATTTCAGTTATCTATCTGAAACATGTCTGAGAGATCATGTTTATGTGTTAGGAAATTAAACATATTTCTTACTGCAGGTCTCAATCAAAAAGGTCTGAAAGCCACTGGCCTAGAGTTTGAGGAAGAGTTAGCCATGAGAAATGGTGGTGACACAGGTTCCACAGAGAAGAAACAGCAGGTGTCAGGCTCTGAGATGAAAGGGCTAGAAGGGGGACACACCAAGTCCAAGCTCTGGCCTTGTCTCGTGGGTAATGGGAAGGCACGTAAGGTTAGTGAGATCCCATCTTCTTCATCCCTGGGCCCCACCCCATGGGCAGGAGGGAAATGGCAGGAAGCTGTCTTTGTGTCTCCCCAGGAGCCTGGACCTGTGACCTTCTCTGACTCCACCTGGGCTTCAATTGTCAGGACCTCCTGGCCTTCGAGGTAGGGTTTGGAGGAAGAAGTCAGCCTATTATGGGGAGAAGGCTTGAATTTCTATATTCATAGCTCGTCTCTGTCACTTACTAGCCTTGTGATCATGGGCAACTTGTCTAATCTCTTTGTGCCTCAGTTTCCTCCTTTGTAAAATAGGTCTCATAGAACTCATCCCCTAAAGTCCTTGTGAGGATTTAGTTTGTTACCCAGATGTCCGCAGGCCTCCAGTAAAAGAATATGTTTTTAGTATAAGTATGTATGTCCCAAATATTGCTTGGAATATGCTTATACTAACAAAATCATTTGTTGCTTATCTGAAATTCAAATTTATCTGGATGTCCTGTATTTTATCTGGAAACCCTACACAGAAATCAAATGTCTCACGCTGTGTCTCAGAGCTGCATGGATCCAATGCCCTCCATCCTTCAGAGGCTGTCTGAGGCCCTGGGTACGACTCCCACCCTCCTCTCTTGCCAGCCGGCGGCCGGGGCAGGAGGGCTGCTCGCTTCACTCCATCCTGCTTTGCTTGGTCCCTTCTCCCTCAGTCCCCAAAGCACCAGCCTCACAGGCCTGCTGTGTGACCCACTTTTACCGACCTTTCAGGGAGAGTAGAGGGCATTTGTGACTCAGCTCTCAGAGCAGGAAACACACCTCTTGTCAACTGTCAGACAGTGCTGCTTTGAATTCCCTCACAGTGCTCAGCAGGGGGCGTCATTGCCGGCCAAAGCCACCCACCACTCAACCCTGTCGAGCCCCCAGACACCCTTCTCCACCTCCCCTTTTTCACCCCCCTCCTCCTCTTTTAAACCACCAGCGAACAACACCCTAATCCATGTCTTTATTATTCAAAGATCTTAAGCACCCTTTCCCACCTCGTTCCCACCTTGATTGTTTCAGGGAGTGAGTTAGGGATTTACCTTTACAATCAAAAAAGTCATCTCAAAGCCAGACTACTGGGCTTCTAATTCAGCCTTCCCACTTACTAGCTGTGACATCTCAGGAAAGTTACTTAACCTCTCTCTCTGCCTCATTTTCCTCATCTTTAAAAAACAGGATGTTAATATTTAGCTCCTAAGACGAGTGAGAGGATTTAAGAGAGCTGATATATCCGAGAATGTCTAGAACAGTGCGTGGCAGAATGGGCATCACACATGAGTTTAATCTTGTAACTGCTGTGTTTCACCAGTTCTAAGGTGTATCTCATTTCTCATCATAAGAGCTCTTCCAGTTGTGTGGCAGCTGGGAGTGGCTGTCATTGCTGGTGCGTAACTAAGTTTGGTCAGGTGAGTGCCATGCCTTCAGCTTAACTGCTGTTTAAAATGTCTTCAAAAAGGTTACACTGTGGTTTAGCATTTGAACATAGTTATTGCGAATGCAGAAAGGCAGGGAGACAGAAGAGCGGAGCAAGATTTTGATATTAGTGAAGAAGTTGTCGTTGAAGAATGACCACAATTTCATATTTTCTTGCAAATCAGCAGCCAAGTGTTTTATGAGACCTAAGAAAAGAAGAACCTCTCCTGAAGCAATCCAGGGACAGAAAAAAAAAGAAAAAGAAAAAAGAAAAGAAGAGCCTCATAAGTAAATGGAACTGTTGTGTGGTGTTGTTTTATTACGAAGAAAAGGGCAAAATGACTGCTAGTCACACGTGAAGCGAGGAAACACCGGCAATAAAGCTTGCAGAATATCTGAGGCTTGAAAATAAATGCTGGGAACAATAGTGGACAATCTTTTAAAGAATGGCACATTGCCAGTGCTCCTGATGGCACAGAAGGTGATACCGTGTAGGAAAACATCAAGGGCTCTGAGTCAAAGAGGGTTTCGGGAAAATTGGGCTCTGAATGTGAAGAAATTTGGGGACTATTTTAGCCAATTTGTTTTGCCTGTAATTTCCTTTCATACATGCACAAGAGCAATTTTAACTTTAAAGACTGATATCTAAATGAATCTAAAATACATTTTTTTTTTTTATGCAGGGTCTCACGTTCACCTGGGTTGGAGGGCAGTGGTGCAATCTCAGCTCAATGCACCTTCTGCCACCCAGGCTCAAGCAATCCTCCCACCTCAGCCCGGACTCCAGGTGCACACCACTGTCCTCAGCTAATTTTTTGTGAGTATTTTTTTGTAAAGACAGGGTTTTGCCATGTTGCTCAGGCTGGTCTCAAACTCCTGGGCTCAAGTGATCCACCCACCTTGGCCTCCCAAAGTGCTAGGCCACCAAGCCCAGCCTAAAAGACTTCTTTCAATAAGTAAAATTGAAAATGGTGAGAAATCAACTTGGGGTTCATTTTCCTTCTCTGGTTTTAAAAAATTATTGTTTTTAATTGTAGTAAGATACACATAACATAAAATGTACCATCTTAACCATTTTTAAGTGCACAGTTCAGTGGCATTAAGCACATTCACATTGCTGTGAATCCATCAGCAATTTTTGTCATGTTTTAATTAATAGATTAATAGTGCATCATAGACACATCGATTTCCTAAGACACAGTGTAGTGGCTGCTATAGAAAAAATGCAGCCATCCCTCCAAGATAGCAGAGCTGCCAGCCAGAAGCACAGCCCAGCCTCGTCAGCTTTGATGGAATGAAATGACTTTCCCTTCTCCCTGGAATGAAGGGAAAGTCAAATGCAAACACAGGCACGAGCTGGGTCATTCTTGGCCCCTTCCCCTCCTCCCAGACTAGGGGCCAGATCAGAATGTGAGTCCTGACTACTACTGTAAGCTGTGCGGCAAGTCGCACTCTCTGGAATCCATGTTCTCATTATGTAAAATGGAATCCACAGGCAAGATACTCTCTAAGATCCCATCAGATTCTAAGTGTGTGATTGCATGATCGAATGACGACACAACACACACACCACCACAAACATATGCAAATTCAAGTTGGGGCTTTGTGGACTCCAAGGAGAAGCTGTCACACCTATTCTGGTTTATTGGGAAGCAAGAGATTTCACCCGCCTGGATTAGGAGTGGTTCTTCCCAGAATCAAGGATCAGTGGGGTCACTGTCTCAAGATTGCGAACACCTTGACCAAAGGAGGAGAGACTGGAAAGGGTGTGTGGCCCATCGGAGAGTACACAGCAACTTGATTGTTGGGTGTGGATTTAGAAACCACTGTCACAGCTTCGGTTCCTATGAGGTCCAAAGAGAAGGTTTTCCAGGGACCGCTGGACTGCATTTGAGAAGCAGTAAGATAACGAATGGGAAAGTATTTTGCAACTGAGAATGTATCAAACATATATATGGGGACTCCCAGGCTCAGTCCTGAACCTGGCCAGGTGGGGTGGACAATATGTTGGAGGGTCAGGAGAAGTCATACATGAAGCCACAAAAGGAAGGAGTGGGGAAGGCATGTTCCCTGGGTGGGGAGAGAGGCACACCCAAGCCAGACCCCTCTGAGTCCTTGTCTCTTCCTCTGTGCGGAGTCTGGAAGTGGGCCCCAGATCCCCTTCACATGACAGGGATCTCCCTCTCCCTCAGATCTTCTCCTGAAGTTGGGAGGGATGGCTGAGGGAAGAGTGCCAGGGCATCTGGTGCCTATGAGTCAGGCCCGGTGTGAGGCACTGGCAATGTATCGGAAAACAACCCCACAGGAATCCCTGCTCTTTCGGAGCATCCCTTCTGTATGGGTAATTTTTATTCTTTCTTCCTCCCCTTCCTCTTCCCCTTTCTCTTCCTCCTCCTCCTTAATAGCAGGAGTCATGAGTCCCCATATATATGTATGATACATTCTCAGTTGCAAAATACTTTCCCATTCATTATCTTACTGCATTCTCAAAACAACTTTATGGGGTAGGCATCAACATTCCCATTGCCCAGATGAGGAAACTGAGGCACAGAGTGTGGCTCGGCAGTATGGGGTGTGGCAGAAAGCTCCAGACCAGGCTCCAGTCCCAGCTCAGCCACTAACCTGCTGGAGCACCTGGACAAGTCACTCCCCTTCCTGGGCCTGTCCTCACCCCTCCTCCCCACCCCACACTCCCATGATACGACACAAGGCGCTCCACTCCAGTCTCCAATTCCTCCCAGATTTCTGTTCCTGGGACTGTGACTTGCCCAGGGACCTGCTGTACAGGAGCTAGAGCAGGATGCAGGAGCCCGTCCTCCTGTCCCCACTCTGAGACCGACCCTGCTGTGAATCCCCAGGAGAGGGAGTAAAGCTGGAGGGATTAGGGAAGGGCCAGTGAGTGGGGCTGGGGAAACTGCTAGACTTGAACGCCTCCAGGACCCCAGTGGCCACAGCAGCATTGATGGCAAGAGGCAGCATTGCCCAGATGCCAGGCTGAGTAGACACCAAGGCCAGAGAGCTGCTTATCAGGCATCACAGCTGCCCAATCCTGCACCGCTCACTGTCCCACAGAAATGTCTTTCTCCTGTGGCCAGAGTGTCCCTGAGCTCCCCTGAGTTCCTAGTACCTGTCACAGCTTCTGGGACCCCAACACATGAGTGTGCAAAGACCTGTTCTCCTCAAAGTATAAATAATACTGCGAGGAAGGGCTGATATTCATCGATCACCTACTGTGGACCAGGTGCTGCTCTGAGCACTTGACATACATGGTTCCATGCAATCCAAGCCCCAATCCACCGGGTCAGTTTTATTCTCCCCATTTTACAGAGAAAGACAAGAAAGGTTAAGCCATGTAGATGGAACAGGCTGATGCTGGAATGGACACCCTCAGCTTCCTCAGCCACCCCCAGGTTGACTCCATCACTGAGGCCCAGGGTCCCAGTGCCCCACAGCTCTGGGAGCTGCTATTTGGCAGGGGCTCCCAGGAGAAGGTGAAGCTTAATGATTTATGGGTGATTAGCTCAAGAACGCAAGCACAGAAGAGACAAACCTTTCTGCCTTGGAGATGTGTTACAAGCCAACCAGTTATTTTCCATCCCTGTGAAGCAGGGATAATTGGAGGTCTGACGGAAGAGCTTCCCAGTCCCCAGAAGGGGCAGCGCTGATGCACTCTCTCTTAGTTTTGAGTAAGGTGTTGCCCCTGCCTTGGTCAACAGTCTGAGTGAGAGAGAGGGCCACTGGGCACCATCCCCACCAGAGGTTCCCATTCACGAGACCCCATGGGTGCTGGGGGAGGCCCTGGGGCAGCAGGCCTGGGGTAACCAAGGGAACAAACACGGAAAACCAGGGACGGCAGTCCTTATCTGGAGCTCATTAAATGGGGAACATTAGTCAGCTGTGAAGGCCAAGATGGGGTGATAGGCACGCGGGTGGGCTGGGAAGGACCACGGGGGCAGAGGCCGCCATGGAGGAGAAGAGGTATTGGCCTCAACAACTCCACCTCCCGGCCATGTGCCAAGATCCAGGGCGGAAGGACCCTATAAATGCCCATGACCCAGGCTCCCCAGAGGCCTTCAGAAAGAGAGGAGAGAGAGTGAGAGAGAGTGCAGGGAGCCTCCTGGCCCTGTGACGGCTGGGCCAGCCACACAGGGCTTAGCATGTGGGAGCTCCGCTCCATAGCCTTCTCCAGGGCCGTGTTCGCAGAGTTCCTGGCCACGCTCCTCTTCGTCTTCTTTGGCCTCGGCTCGGCCCTCAACTGGCCACAGGCCCTGCCCTCTGTGCTACAGATCGCCATGGCATTCGGCCTGGGTATCGGCACCCTGGTACAGGCTCTAGGTCATGTAAGTGGGGCCCATATCAACCCCGCCGTGACTGTGGCCTGCCTAGTAGGCTGCCATGTCTCTTTTCTCCGGGCCGCCTTCTACGTGGCTGCCCAGCTGCTGGGGGCTGTGGCCGGGGCCGCTCTGCTCCATGAGATCACACCAGCAGACATCCGTGGGGACCTGGCTGTCAATGCTGTGAGTAGCTACAACTTTGCCATCCACAAGGGGCAGATCCTGGGGAATCCCTTGTAAGGGATGAGATGGGAGGGAAGGGCTCTGGGTGAGGTGGGGAGAGAGATGGAGACAGAGGCAGAGAGAGAGAGAGAGAGAGGCTGGAGCCAGGACCACAGCCACCATAGGAGGCTCAGGATAAAAGGAGCAAGGATGCCAGAGCAAAGGCAGGATGCAGACAGACTGCTGGCTTCTTCTGTCCTGAGCGTCATGCAGGAAGAGCTGCGTGCGGGTTTCTGTTAGGCTCAATGCCTACATTACAGTGAGGACCAGGCTTTACCTTAGCAGGGGTTGGTGTCCCAAGCAGACATGCTTTCCAAGCTGCGGGGTGCCTTGGAGTGCTCGTCACAGGGTCCTCAAGAGAGAAGAGGGACCCAGTATTTCTTCTACCTCAAGGGTGTGCAGGCCCCATGGCAGGTGCCCCTTACCAGCCAGGCACAGACACACCACAGCCCTGCAAGCAGCGATGAGCATTCTCACTCCTCCAAACCCTGAGGACGTCCCTGAAGCCCACGAATTGGCTGCTGATTACACGATACAGGGGATAACTGGGCCCCGTGGGCCCTTTGGGAGCTGAGGGTGCCACAGTCCCTTCCTCCATGTCCCACCCACTTCCTCTCTCAGATCTGTTCAGGTCCTGTGAATCCAAGGAACACGAGAGTGGAGGAATGACCTGTGCCTCCTGCAGATCAACTCTCACTCTGTACCCCCATCCCAAGCCAGGACAGCAAGTGCCTCTTTTGTGCCTCAGTCTCCAGTATTTCTTGGCCTGTTCCATCCCTGGGCCACTGGACAAGAGTCTCAATGTTTCTGATGAGTTCTGCACAATTTCTATGGCCACCTCCTTCTCTGCACAGGTGGCCCTTCCTCATTTTTTTTTTAAACTGAATCTCACTTTGTTGCCCAGGCTGGAGTGCAATGGTGCAATCTTGGCTCACTGCAGCCTCCGCCTCAAGCCATTCTCCTGCCTCAGCCTCCTCAGTAGCTAGTATTATAGGAGTGTGACGCCACACCCAACTAATTTTTAGTAGAGGATTTCACCATGTTGGTAAGGCTGGTCTCGAACTCCTGACCTCAAGTGAGCCACCACACCTGGCCTCTGTTCTTTAAAGAGAAAAATACGATGAGGCTGGGGGCCAAGGGCCAAGGAAAGGCTAGGTGGGCAAGCTGAGGAGTGGGCTCATTTCCACTGAGAACAAAATAGTTCAGTTTGCAACAAGAAGAAGTCCAGTTAGACTGAAAGAGGAGCTTCCTGAGAGCATGGCCAGGGAGTCCTTCTCTAACAGCAGGGCACTGGGAGCACTAAGAGGCCATGGGGAACATGCTGTCCTCCTCCTCCGTCATTTCACAGCTGACTGGGGCCCTCGGAAGAGAAAGAGCGGGGAGGGCTCCTCCATGCCACTGCTCAGTATTTATCACCTTGAGGGCCTGGGGAGAACCCTGCCTGGCTGGAATGGGGCAGTGGTGGGACCAACTTTCCCTGAGGAAAAGGAGAGCCAGATGACCCTCAAGACCATCCCACATGTTCCTCTGAGGACACTGAGAGACAGCCTGGTCAACAGGAAGTTATCACTGGCATGCACCAGTCCTGTGCCAGGCCAGCCATCATCTCAGCCTTGGTACAACACTATAAGGGAAATTCTGTGATTCCCCCCTATTCTGAGTGGTAAATTGAGGCTCAACAGTCAATTGACCCAAGTCACAGAACCAATAAGTCATTTCCAGTCCTCACACAGTCCTCCAGAATCCATTTTGTTAGCCCATTTCACAGAAGGAGAAATGAGGCCAAATTAAATAATCCCATGGCAAGTCAGAGGCCTCCAAAGTGTCTGCTTCCAAAGCTCTTTTCACTGTCCTCTAGAGGCACTGCACTGGGCAACAGGAGGGACTGAAGTTAGACCCTAGAGAGACCAAGGGTTCCAACTTGATGTCTCAGGCCCAGGGGTGGGGTTTCAGGGGCTGGGGAAAGAGCGTGGGAGCTGACAGCTGTCAGTGTTGCACCCGGTGCAGGGCCCAGCCCCAGAAGGCAGGGTGTAGGGTACAGGGTGACAAACCCAAGGAGAAATCCAGTGCTGGGTGCAGCCCAGTTATGAAATCACGTCTTTACTCAGCCCTGAGTTCTCTCCTTACCCAAGGCAGGGTCTGCTGAGACCATGGACAGCCGACACGGGTGTGGAGGCATTGCCTGGCACAGCTCCGGGGCCCTCACCCCTACCTCCAGAGGATGTGCAGGGAGTAAACCCACAGGGCAAATCTGAGGTCTGAAAGGCGGTGGGGAACAGGCAAGGGTTAGGGAATGAAGTTATGCTGGACTCAGGGGGAAGGGGCACACTAGGACCATCCCCAGGACCTGAGTCCCTAGACCGTGTCCCAGGGAGCCATTTGACCTCAGGAAGTAAGGCCACGGGCCTCTCATTGCACAGGTTCTGATGGTCTAGAGAGAGGGGAAGGTCTTCCTGCTACCCGGCCCAGAGCTTCCTGTGGCAGTTGAAACCTCTTCCCTTCTTGCTCTTTGGGAAACAGAAATTCTGGATCTCAGCATCCTTTTCCTCTCACGCTGCAGGCTCCCAACCTCAGCCCCGAATCCAATGGGCTGAATAGTTGGTTTTCCTACCTCTGGCAGGGGGACCATGGGTGTCCTGGGGGATCATGGGCTGCCTTTGGGCCAGGGCCCAGGAAGAAGGGATCAGTCATTCCAGCTAAGGTGTCTGGCAAGCCCGGGTGTTCTGGCTCCCAGCCCAGAGGCCCTCCTGGTGCCTCGACTCCAGGTGGACAGGAAGATGGAGCCCGAGAAGAGAATGTGCTCAGTGTCCCCCCACCTGCCTACTCTGTCCCCAGCTCAGCAACACCACGACGGCTGGCCAGGCAGTGACAGTGGAGCTCTTCCTGACGCTGCAGCTGGTGCTCTGCATCTTTGCCTCCACCGATGAGCGCCGTGGAGAAAACCCAGCCACCCCTGCTCTCTCCATAGGCTTCTCCGTGGTCCTGGGCCACCTCCTCGGGGTAGGTCACCACCACGGGTTCCAGCCTCCCTGAAGGGACAGACACAGAGACGACTCTAGAGACAGACACAGAGACCCCAAGAGGGACACATACGCAGAACTCTCAAGAGGAACAGACACCCCAGAGGTTTGACTCCCAGATACCCCAGAGGGACAGATATCACTCCAGCCCCAAAAGAATACAGAGCTCTGTAAATAAGACGTGAAGTTAAGTGAGGTTAATCGTCCATCATGTGGCTTCTCTTTAGGCTGGGGTCGAGGACTGGAGGGTGGGGCGAGGACTTCCTGCCCTGTCCTCACCTCCCTTCTCTCTTTGATTCCACCTCCCACTGCAGATCCACTACACCGGCTGCTCTATGAATCCCGCCCGCTCCCTGGCTCCAGCTGTCGTCACTGGCAAATTTGATGACCACTGGGTAATGGTTGAAACCCCCTGCCCTTCCCTTCTCTAAAAACCCACTTTAGAGGGAGAGCAAGGGCTGGAATCGCGTGGGATGGGGGCTCAGCAGCGGTACCTCAAACCCTCCACACTCCTCCTGGGGTCCTGGGGAGCCTAGGTTCTGCCCCTTGGATCTGATGTCAAAGACTCAGTTTCCACATCTGTGAATGAGGATGATAACAGCTTACCTCCCTGGCTTCTTGGGAACAGTAAGTGAGGTTGCTGGTGTCACCTAGATAATGCAGTGCCTGGCCCTTAGATCTCTGTTAAGTGGTCATATTTATGCTAGCTAACCCTTTATTTTTAGTATTTAGCACTTATCTGGTGCTTAGTATGTGGTGGGCCTTGTTCTGAATGCCTTGCAAATATTAACTCATTCAGTTTTCACAGCCACCCTCGGAGGTAGGCATTTTTACAGTGAAAGGAGACTGAGGCACAGAGAGGGCAAATAACTTGTCGAGGTGCACACAGCATTTAAGTGGTGGTATCAGGATTCACACACAGGCAGTGGCGTCAGAATTCGCACCCTTAACCCCGCAATGACCAGTCTTCCCCAGTAGCTGATGTTTTCTCCGCTAATCACATAAATAAGCATTTTACTAGAATAACGGTGGGGAGGAGGGGTGCAGCCGCAGACTGAGGCTCCGCGTGCCTGTGCCGGCGCGGGTGCCAAGCCACCCTCTCCGCTCGCCTGCAGGTCTTCTGGATCGGACCCCTGGTGGGCGCCATCCTAGGCTCCCTCCTGTACAACTACGTGCTGTTCCCGCCAGCCAAGAGCTGGTCGGAGCGCCTGGCGGTGCTGAAGGGCCTGGAGCCGGACACGGACTGGGAGGAGCGCGAGGTGCGGCGGCGGCAGTCGGTGGAGCTGCACTCGCCGCAGAGCCTGCCGCGGGGCAGCAAGGCCTGAGGGCCGCCCCGATGAAGCCCCGTGGGGCCCGAGGCGGACGGGCCCACCCCGCCCCTACTCTCCCCCAGGTCTGAGGTTGACCCCCAGCGCAGAGTAGCTGCTTTCCGGACGTGCCCGCGGAGGCCAGTGCTGTGAGCAGGCAGAGAGGAGGCTGCGGGGTCGGGGAGCCCTGGGCCGGCAGCTCCCCTGCCCTGAGTCTGTGGACACGGCGGTGGATCCTCCAGCCTTTTGCAGGGAACTGGGAACTCGGAGGGCTGAGCTAGGGAGGGAGGCAGGTGGGGGGGGGGGGAAGAAGGAAGCTCTGGAGAGCCTGCACCCAGGTAGCGGGTAGGGAGTGTACAGACCCCTGCCTTGGGGGTTCTGGGAACGGTGCAACTGGTTTCACTAGTGTGCGAGTGCTGTGTTCATCCCCGAGTTCTCCTTTGTCCTCACGTGCAAGGTTGTGGGTGCCCCTGAGTGTGAACAGGTTTGCCTGCGTTGGTGCAAGTGTGCATGGCTGGGGACTTCTCACTTCCCCTTACACCCCTTCCTCACCAACATGTCACAGATCCGCTTCCTCTGCAATGGGTGAGTGTGGGTGCCAGTCATCCCCAGGAGAAGGGGAAGAAAGGAAGGAGGACACTTTGAGAAGCCGAAGGGAGGGTCTTGATTTCCAGCTGGTATCTGGCTCCTCCTGAAAAATTTCCCCCACTTGCAGCGCTGGGCCCCAGGACTCATTGCTGAAGGTAGAGGTGTCAACCAGAGACTCCCCTAGAAATGCCCTCTGGAAGACCGGGTGCGGTGGCTCCCGCCTGTAATCCAGCACTTTAGGAGGCTGAGGTGGGCAGATCACCTGAGGTCAGGAGTTTGAGACCAGCCTGACCAACATGGAGAAGCCCCATCTCTATTAAAATACAAAATTAGCTGGGTGTGGTGGCACATGCCTATAATCCCAGCTACTCAGGAGGCTGAGGCAGGAGAATCTCCTGAACCTGGGAGGTGGAGGTTGCAGTGAGCCTAGATCACGCCATTGCACTCCAGCATGGGCAGCAAGAGCAAAAGTCCATCTCAAAAGCAAACGAAAGAAAGAAAGAAAGAAAAGAAAGAAAAGGAAGGAAGGAGGGAGGGAGGAAAGAAGGAAGGACCCTCTGGAAAAACGAAATCTTTGCTGGCCGAAGATTTCCTTTCTGCGTTGAGGGGGAACCTCTCCAGAGAGGAAGCATGAGTGTGGGCGGCTGCACATGTCTGTACGATGTGTGTGCCCGGGAACCCCGTCTCCAGGGGTGCCCCAGACTAGAGATTAGCCTCCCACTTCGGCAGATAAAACAAAAGCCCTTTCTGGGACCCTGGCCTTTGTCTTGGGAGAGGGGGAGATTTGCAACTAGACACTTCTTGAAAGGAGACACTCAAGTTTCGCAAGTGAGCCCTCTCGCCCAGCACACACTTATGGCTGGCTGGGCAAGGCACTCAGGCATGCAACCACAGGCACCAGGCAACACCCCTCCATCGCCTATCTCACTCCCCCCATCCTTGGGCAGCAGCTACTCCACCACAGGAATCTCTGTTCCTTCTGTCCCTGCCTCTCCACAGCCTGTGATTCCCCACTTCTGGCTCCAACCACTAGACAATTATTGTGGAGAGAGCAGCCTGCCACTCTCAGGACCAGAGAAGGGAAACGATTTCTCCAGGCAGAGGCAGATCTGAGTCTAGAACCCAGGTTTATAAATTTCTAGGCCAGTATGACTGCTCTCAAATGAGATTAACTGGGATTAAGTGAGATGATGCGTGTAAAGATGAAGATACTGTGTGAACTGTAATTCTTTTTTTTCTGAGACGGAGTTTCATGCTTGTTCCCCAGGCTGGAGGGCAATGGTGTGATCTCAGCTCACTGCAACCTCCGCCTCCCAGATTTAAGCGATTCTCCTGCTTGAGCCTCCCATATAGTTGGGATTACAGGCATGCATGCATCACCTAATTCTGTATTTTTAGTAGAGATGGATTTCTCCATGTTGGTCAGGCTGTTCTAGAACTCCCGACCTCAGGTGATCCACCCGCCTTGGCCTCCCAAAGTGCTGGGATTACAGGAGTAAGCCACTGTGCCCGGCCATGAACTGTAATTCTTAATACCATTATCATGCATTACTAGGGTAATTTTCTTTATTTCTGCTTCCTGGGGGAACGATGCAGAAGGAGTTTGATGCTCAGCATCCCTTACCTCCTTTCACTGATGGTCAAAGCAAAGGAGAGTCCTGGGAGCCCACAAGATCTAGGTAGAAGGAGATGGGTTTGGGCTGGACCCATCCTGGCACAGCCTCTTAACCTCTCCCTACCCTGAATGTGTGCCCTTCTCTCCCACCTTCTTCCTCCCGCCACCCAGCCCCATCCATTCTCTCCCTCCTCCAGCCTGCTGTATAAGTAACATTCAGGTCATACCTTGAGACCCCCTCTCCATCCTCTCTGTGGCCTCCATGCCTTCAAGGCATGTATCTATGTCACACCGCATGCATCAAGCACCCACTGTGCACTAGGCACTAAGCTTCTAGCCTCTTTCTCCCTTCTGCTCCCATCCAAGAAAGACAGTGTATAAGGAACATCCCTGCAACTCTGTCCCCTCTCATCTATGCTCTTTACTGTCCTCCCTGACCAAAGCTCTCTTTGAAATCCAAAAAAGGCTGCCCTGGGCCATACGTGCTATGGCGAGGACTCTCCCAAACCCCCAACAGCTAGTGACAGCTACTTGGCCTCACTATCAGAAGGGGGGTGGAGTCAGAAACCAAAGTGACCTCCAGAGCTGTCCTCCTGGCACCTGAGTGTCCTTGCTCTAGAGCTTCAAAGGCAGCAAGGCAGTGAGCTATGAGCCCAGCATGGATGTGTCTCAGGCACCTCGTCCCCACTCTACCTCGCCCAGCAAACTCCTCTAGAAGAAGCCAAGAATTTCTCTGTATGACTGTTTCACTTCTTGGATTGCATCTCCCCAAAAACTAAATGTGAAATCCCTACCATTTCCAGCCTCTATTGCCCAAATTGGGGTCAGAGGTCAAAAAAGGATTCCAAGTGATGGAACTCCAAGGGTGGAGGGAAACTGGCAGTTCCTGGGCATCCCTTGCTGTGCTGGGTGCCTTGCATGCACTGGCTCATCTAATCTTCCTAAGACTTCAGCTAGGTTAGGGAAGGACACTGTCTTGCAGTGGACAGAGAGCCTTGGTGGGGGCGGCAGGGTAGAGAGGACAAAGAACATGGGGCTGGATTCTGCCCTTGAAGAGCACTGGGTCAGGAGGAGAATGGAGATCACACACACTGAACCAGACAGAGGCAGGGCAGCATGGAGGCAGGTGAACAGACCACCAGGTCCCCAGGCTGGGGACAGAAGGTTCTGAGCTGTCCCGTACTCCCACTTTGTGCCAAATGACTTTGCACCTGCAGTAGGTGCTTCCATGTTGTTTTGTATCTTTAAGCTGTGATGCTGTCTATACACAATACCTCCCAGCTAGACTGTAAGCCCTTTGGGGACAGGGCTCCTTCCAGTTCTTAGATGGCATTCTCCTATCTACCTTCCTTCAACTGTTTTACCTAGCACAGTGCTCTGCATATAAGCACTCAATAAATGCGCATTTGCCAATGAGTACTGGGAGTGGTCAATATAAATACAGTCCAAGGTACCAGAAGACAGGCAGAGCTCCCTACCATTTCTACCCCAGCCCTCAACTTCCACCAGGGAATCTAGAGGTCCCTATATCAGGAGAGGAGGGGAAGGGCTCTCCCTGAGATATTCAAATTCCCCCTGCCACAAATGGGGTGACCCATCTCTCAGCCTGGAAGGGTCACAGGCATTCCTCTGGGGCTGGCAGGGCAGGGCCTGACCGCTCGGGCAAAGATAATTCCAAGGCATAATAGGAGTTTCTTGTAATGACTTGGGGACAGAGGGACCCTAGTGGTTAGAGAGATGGAAGGGCCTCAGCCACAAGCCTAGGAAACAGAATCGGCTGCCCCGTGAGAGTAACCTTGACAGATCAAATCTCCTCCTTTGGCCTCGCCAGGCCCATTCCTGGTGACCACGTCTGTTTGGCGACCTGTGGTGCCCATCTCAGGTCACTGTGTGACCCTAGGCAAGTGACCTCTGAGTCTGGGTTTTTTCACGGGTAGCTTGGAATCAAATCACACAGTGGAGGCCAATTATAATCTATAACTTTGTAGATTATATTCTGAATCTCTGAAATGGCAAGAACAAGGTCTTGGCCTTGACAGTCCCTCATTAGCTGCAAAGGACTGAGCTCAAATCCTCAGGTGGGAGCCTCCCCCGGTGGCCCAGCCTCTTGTGAGCACTCCTGAGTCCTTTCACTCCAAGACGCTGGAGTTTGAGACCTGTGGACCCATGAAGACAGTGCCTGGGGACAGAGGACAAGAAAGCAAGTGGGTGAGCAGAGAAGGAGCCTGGCCCCCAGTGGCCTCTGGGGTCATCAGGGTCATTGCCCAACCCAAGCCCCAGGCCCAGCAGAAAATCCTGCATACAACTGGAGGGATGCGTTGAAGGCAGAACGCTGGGACCCATGGAAGAAAGGACAGACAGACCTCCAGCCATAAGAGGAGAGACTTGGGGGAGGAGCTGCTCTAGCAGGAAATGCCACAGGTGAGCAGGAACAATAGCGGGGTTTCTTTGGCCTTTGTTTTCTTTGGCATCTTCGCTGCCACAGAGCCCAGAGCCTGCTCCTCCAAGCCCTTGGCATTCCTTCGGGCTCCTCCCCTCAGCCCTGCCTGACAGACTGACAGAGGAGGCACCTGTTCTCTTCTTCCACTGCACCCTCGGGCTGGACTCTTCCCCCAGCTTAGTGCCACACTAAACCCTCAAGGGGCTTTTAAAATTAACAGTCATAACATAAGGAGACTTTACGGAGCCTTATTCTGTGCCAGGCAGGATAGCTTCTCTAGCACACGTGGGGATGGGGGTCTTTAATGCAGCTCCTCTCCTGGTATCCTGAGGGTGGGTCCTCCCCCTCCTCTAAGCCCTGGAGAGTCCTCCAACCTCATTCCC